GAGGCGATGCATTACGGGGACGCTGTGCGAGCTGCCCAGGCCAAAGCTGCCAAGGCAGAAGAGGAAAAGAGAGCTGCTGAGGTCCAGCTCGCTGCTTCGCAGGCGGAGGTGGAGCGGCTGAAAAAAGAGCTCTATGAGGTGGAGTGCCAGGTGGCTGCGGTGACTCGGTGGCTTGACCACGCTAATGAGCACCACAAGCTTGCCACTGATGCCCTGGAGGCCTCCAACAGAGAAAAAGCGGAGCTGAAGCAGCAAGCAGAGGCCCAGTCAGTGGAGATTGCCTCTCTGAGGGAGGAGTTAAAGTCAGCGGGGGAGGTGGCGGTTCAAAATTTTATTGATCACTTCGAGGACCACCCCCTTTATGACGACTTCGCCAACTTCTGGGCCTCGTGGAGTGCCCAGAGCCTATTGGGTCGGCTGAAGGAGGTGCACCCCACACTGGACATTTCTCAACTAGAGGCAGAGTTCGGGGGACCCACTGGAGGTCTGCCTGACAAGGTTACCGAGGAGGTTCCAGAGGCCCAGGAGGCGGCCAGTGCTGAAGTTCCTCCCACAGATTAGGGTTTCCTTTGTAATGGCTTCGGCCCCCATGTACTTCAATTTCATGTAATGGAAAATTGTTACATTTCTTTTTCAAGTTCTTCCGCTTCTGCTTCTTTGTATCTCTTTTTGTTTTATACTTGTATGAATGACAAACATTAGGCCGACTGCCTCGCGACAATGACCAGTTAACAATTGTGAATCGGTCTCCTTAAGCGAACACAAGTCAACACTTAAGTGGGTTGGAAGTGACCCCTTACCTTAACCTCTTAATAATCTGAGGCCAGAGCAATTAGGAAAATGCGAGGAAACGTTTGTTCATCAGCTAATAAGTGACGATCGAATCACTCAAATGAACATTTTGAAGAACTGAGGAAACCTTTCCCTGGCTGATCCGGTTTGGAACTAAAAATTCATTACTGAAGATAAGTTACACCCATTTACAAAGGTGATTCCATCACTTAGTCGGATCAGGACAACTGATTTAGTTATGACAACCTAGGATCAAATCGGAACATTCTTGTTACTGGTAATATTTTCTCAAGTGCTCTATGTTCCACTTGTGAGGTAACACCCTTCCAGACATATCTTCGACCTCGAAAGTACCAGGTCGGGATTCTCCCCGAATGCGGTACGGGCCTTCCCAGTTTGGGCTAAAAACTCCTGACCCGGTTGGTTTCGAAGATTGGAACACCCTTTTGAGAACAAGGTCGCCCAAGCGGAGAGTTCTGTTTCTAACCTTGGAGTTGTAAAAGCGGGTCATCTTACGATGGTATTTCGCTAAGGTTATCTGGGAAGCGTCTCTCTTTTCCTCAAGGAGGTGTAGTTCACTTATGCGCGCCTCATCGTTGCTGATCTCATTGAAATGTATCCGCCGATGTGATAGGACACCGACCTCGACCGGACTCATCGCTTCGGCTTCGTAGGTCATTGAGAATGGGGTCTCACCCGTTGCGGTCCTGCAAGTCGTTCTGATGGCCCAGAGGACGTGGGGGAGTTCGTCAACCCAGGCACCTTTTGAGGCATCCAGTTTCCTTTTCAGGGTGTGCTTGATAGTCTTGTTCACTGCTTCGACCTGTCCATTTGCCTGAGGGTGATGCGGAGTCGAGAAGTCTTTCTTTATGCCTAGTTCATCGCATAACTCTCGCATCTTCCTGTTGTCGAACTGCCGCCCATTATCAGAGACAATGGAGTGAGGGATGCTGAACCTGCAGATGACGTTTTTCCAAACGAACTTCGTAGTGTTGGCTTCGGTGATTAGGGCAAGGGGTTCTGCCTCGACCCACTTAGTGAAGTAGTCGATGGCGACAATGGCAAAAGTTGCGCTCCCTCTACCCTTTGGTAGCGGACCAATGAAGTCGATGCCCCACTTGGCGAATGGCCAAGGGCTGGTCACTATAGAGAGGCTCTGCGCAGGCTGTCTTTGTACGTTCGAGAAGCGCTGGCATTTGTCACATTTCTGGACAAATTGGCAAGCATCCCTTTTCAGGGTTGGCCAGAAGTAGCCCTGACGGAGGACCTTGTGTGCCAGAGCCGTCCCTCCGGAGTGATTTCCGCAGATCCCTTCATGTATTTCTCTGAGTACGTAGGTGGCCTCTTCGCCGCCCACACATCGAAGAAGGGGAGAGGCAAAGCCCCTCTTGTAAAGGGTTCCTTCGTGAAGGACGAAGTGTGCAGCCCTTCTTCTTAACTTCCTTGCTTCACTTCTGGAAGCAGGCAGCGTTTGCTCTTTTAGATATGCCATTATGGGCTGCGTCCACAATGGGGTGACTTCTGTCCACAGTAACTCCTCACCTTCGAAGGTGGAGGGCTTTGATAAGTGCTCAATGGGGACGATGTTCAGAAGCTCTGAGTTCACGCTGCTGGCCAATTTTGAGAAGGCATCTGCATGAGCATTCTCCAGACGAGGGACTTGAGTCAGTTCGAATTTTTCGAAATGGGGAATTATGTCTAGAACCAGCTTCAAGTATGCGAGCATGTTATCATCTTTGGCCGCGAAATCCCCATTTACTTGATTCACCACGAGCTGAGAATCACTGCTTGCCAGAAGCTTCCTGACCTGCATTTCCTTGGCGAGCCTTAGTCCTGCCAGAAGGGCCTCATATTCGGCTACGTTGTTCGAGGCTCTGAAGCCGAATCTTACCGCACAATTCAACAAATGACCTTCCGGGCTTTCCAGTACAATTCCCGCCCCTGCGCCTGCCTCTCCTGAAGACCCATCTACAAACAATTTCCATGCGGGGGGCTCGGCTGGTTCCATCAGGGCCTCCATTTCTGGGGCTTTGGTAAATTCGACCATAAAATCGGCAAGGGCCTGGCCCTTGATAGCGTGTCTAGGTCGGAACGTGAGATCGAACTCGCCGAGCTCGATAGCCCATTTCAGTAGGCGTCCTGACGCGTCCATCTTCTGCATTACTTGCCTTAAAGGGAAATTGGTGAGGACTTGTATTGAGTGAGCTTGGAAATATGGCCTGAGTTTTCTTGAA